ACCCTGTCTCGAAAAAACAAAACAAAACAAAACAAAACAAAAAAACAAATAAAACCAAAAAACAAGCGAGGAGCCGGGTGGTGGTGGCACACATTTTTAATCCCTGCACTCAGGAGGTGAGGCAGGCGATCTCTGAGTTCGAGGCCGGCCTGGTCTACAGAGTGAGTTCCAGGACAGCCAGAGCTGTTACATCACTGCCTGGCACAAGAAGTAAATATTAAAAGGAAGAGGAGAGATAAACTAAAATAGCCGTGAGGCCTGCCTAAGACCCAAGTGTTGGTTGTTTCACTCTTTGGATCTTTGTGCTTAGCTCTTTGTGGGGGAAGGGGCACCACCCAGCTGCATTCTTATCCTTTTATATAAAAGCCCAGCCTTAGCTTGGCTTATTTCTAGCCAGCTTTTCTTTCTTTCTTTCTCTTTTTCTTTCTTTCTTTCTTTCTTTCTTTCTTTCTTTCTTTCTTTCTCCTCTTCTTCTTCTTCTTCTTCTTCTTCTTCTTCTTCTTCTTCTTCTTCTTCTTCTTCTTCTTCTTCTTCTTCTTCTTCTTCTTTTCGAGACAGGGTTTCTCTGTGTACCTTTGGAGCCTATCCTGGAACTCACTCTGGAGACCAGGCTGGCCTCGAGATCACAGAGATCCTCCTGCCTCTGCCTCCTGAGTGCTGCAATTAAAGGTGTGTGCCACCAACATCCAGCTTCTAGCCAGCTTTTCTAAATTTTAAATTACCCCATCTACCTTTTGCTTCTGGGCTCTTATCTTTTTCTCCATTCTACATGCCTTTTCTTTACTTCTTACTCTGTGGCCAGCTGGGTGACTGGCCCCTGGAGTCCTCTACCCTGTTCTTGCTTCTCCATCCTCTCTTCCCAGGGTTCTCTTATTCTCTCTGCCCACCTGCCCTGCCTGTCCCTCCCCTGCCTAGCTATTGGCCGTTCTGCTCTATATTAGACCAATCAGGTGTTTTAGGCAAAGTAGCACAGCTTCACAGAGTTGAGCAAACGCAGCATAAAAGAATAGAATGGAACTCATTGCTGTGGGATAATGCTTATCTACACTGTGAATATGTATTACTCTCATTGGTTAATAAAAAAAAAGCCGTTTGACCTATCAATGAATAGGATACAATTAGGTGGGACAATCAAACTGTGGACTGGGCTGAAGAAGGGTGGAGTCTGGATAGATGCCTGCCAGCCACCAGGGAAGCAAGATGCTAAAGATAGGTAAAGCCACGAGTCATGTGGTAATACATAAACAGAAATGGATTAATTTAACTATAAGAGCTAATTAATAATAAGCCTGAGCTATCAGCCGAGCTTTTGTAATTAACGTAAGCTTCAGCATGTTTATTTGGGCAGTCGGGACAAGAGAACAACTCTACCTGTATTCACAACACATCTTTGCATCATTAAACAAGTGTTCCACTGCGTAAACAAACGGAACACATCTATTTTTCAAGTTAAGGCATTCCTAAAGCATATAGGCTGATTTCTTTCAACAGCTCCCTCTTTCAATTCCAGGACTCTTAGCAACTGCCATTTGCTTATCAGCAATCAAAAATTCAAAATCAACAGAATACTTTTAGGGTTCACATTCCCTGGGTATGTCCCATCTTATGTGGCTTTTTTTTTTAAGATTTTATTTATTTATTATGTATACAACATTCTGCTTCCATGTCTATCTGCACACCAGAAGAGGGCACCAGATCTCATAACGGATGGTTGTGAGCCACCATGTGGTTGCTGGGAATTGAACTCAGGGCCTCTGGAAGAGCAGTCAGTGCTCTAAACCTCGAGCCATCTCTCCAGCCCATGGCTTTTTTTCTTTTTTAAATACTACTTTTCTTCTCTTTAGAGTTTATTATTTTTTAATTTTAAAAAATTTATTATTTTTTACATTCCAATTCCTCCCCCCCTCCTCCCTCTGGCTCCCCCCACTTCTTCCCACCCCACCTCCCATCTGCCCTTTGGCTGTGGTGAGGCCTCCCCTAGGAAGG